CTCTGAAACGCACAAAATTCTTGTAAGTACAGGGCTAACCCATTGTGCCACTGGAGCTCCGTGAAACTCACAAAATTCTTGTAAGTACCGGGCTAACCGATTGTGCCACTGGAGCTCCGTGAAACTCACGAAATTCTTTTTTTTTTTTTTAAATATATTTTATTGATTTTTTTACAGAGAAGAAGGGAGAGGGATAGAGAGCCAGAAACATCGATGAGAGAGAAACATCAACCAGCTGCCTCCTGCACGCCCCCCACTGGGGATGTGCCCGCAACCAAGGCACATGCCCTTGACCGGAATCGAACCTGGGACCCTTGAGTCTGCAGGCCGACGCTCTATCCACTGAGCCAAACCGGTTCGGCAACTCACGAAATTCTTGATATCTGTGTGGCAAAAGCTGTTGAATGCCCTCCACCTCGGACCACCGCCAGGCTCCTCGATCTGCTGGTTGGGGAGTTTCTGAAAGTGACATGCATCGATCCTAGTTCATCTGTGATCACCTGCAGACAATGAGCCCTTTGGCAAAATGCCACAGCTCTTAAGAGGTTCTGACTGAGAGCTTAGAGCTTCTTGTCACAAAGGAAGGGAAGAAATATGCAATGCCTACACTGAGCCTAATGACTCGAGGCGGCTCTGGCAGCTTTTCAAAGAACAGGCCAAGGCTGATGATAATGAGGCCATGTCCAAAGATGAAAAATTCTGTACTGCCCTGGAATACGGGGCACAGCTGGCTGGGTAACCAACCAAGTTACCACGTTTCTCACAGGTTCCAATAACATCAAGAAGTACTCCTGTTTCCTGCCATGAAACCTGAAGTCAAGAAGGAAAATGTAGCAACTGCTGATACACTGGAAAGCACAACAGCTGGCACTTCTGTCTAGAAAATAACTGCAAGTCACAGAACTCAGACATCTTTGCACTTCTGCAAAAGATCAAGGACTGCAAGGGAATTCTCTATGTTGTTATCCATTTCACTGTGCAGTTCAGTCACCAGAAGAGAGAAAAGGAATTAAGAATTCCTCTTTTACTCCTTGTTACCAAAGGAACCATTTATCTCTTAAAAAAAAAAAAATCAGCCCGGCCAGTGTTTCTCAGTGGTTGAGCATTGACCCATGAAACAAGAAGTCACTGGTTGGATTCCCAGTCAGGGCAGATACCTGGGTTGCTGGCTCGATCCCCAGTAGGGGGCGCCTGCAGGAGGCAGCCAATTGATGTTTCTCTCTCATCAATGTTTCTATTTCTCTATCCCTCTCCCTTCCTCTCTAAAATCAATAAAAACATACTTTTTTACAAATCAAAAATGAAGTATAGTCTCTAAACAAGAAAGGCTTAATTGAACAAAATATCCTTTCCCCTTTGCTAGGTTTGGGTTCACTCACAATTAACTCAGTTAATTAGAGACCTCAGTTGAGTCAGAACGGTGATATTAAGTATATTACACGGTATACCAGAAAGTAAATTTATATATTTTAACTGAGGTACTTTATGGTAAATGGTGTCTAATTCACTGTAGGAAATACACCTATATTTAATAACTAGGAAAGGCAAACCCTGGTGCAGAGGGAGCTGGCCTTGCTTTCCTTGTTAAGGCCAGTCTTGTCCTGCTGAGGAGAGAAATGCCACACCCCTTTATCAGAGTGACCACGACGCACCAAGGCATTTATAAGGGGATTTTGTAACCATAGCTCTAAAAATAAAGATAGAGTTCCAAGTCTTAACAATGACCAATATTCCCCTCTTCTTACTAATATCACTGACTGGGGCTTCTCACAAATTATTTTTAGCCCCACTACATTGTTTTTGCCTTCTAGAAAATGACTATGATTACTGATGATCAAATAAAGTTTACCTCCTCACAGCATTCCATACAGAAAAAGGTCTTGCTTCCTTAATAGCAATTAAATCATCTAACACAAGTAAAATCCTGTTAAAAGTCCTTTTGAACATGCTGAGATTGTACCGCACAGTCCCTGCCGGTTTGTCTTCATTCTTATTAGAATCAATTACTCCTCTCTTTCTGACTAGAGATGTAATCCTGCAGGTCACTGGCAAACGAGAACTGAGAAAAATATGACTTATAGTTCTGCTATTAAGAATAAAAAAGAAATGTATTTTTTGTGGGTTTTTTTTTAAACTCATTTTTCTGAAATGTGCTTTACGATGTTCTGTGTCCTTAAATACAATTTTTTGTTGTTGTTAATCCTCACCTGAGCATATTTTTCTACTGATTTTTAGGGAAAGTGGAAGAGAGAGGGAAAGACAGAGAAATATCAATGTGAGAGAAACACATTGATTGGTTGCTTCCTGCATGAGCCCCGACCAGGGTCTAGGCCAGGGAGGAGCCTGCAACCAAGGTACATTCCCTTGACAGGAATCGAACCTAAGACCCTTTGGTCCACAGGCCAATGCTCTATCCACTGAGCCAAACCAGCTAGGGCATAAATCAGTTTTATGATAAGATTGTATCTATGAAAGATTAAAATGTAAAATCTGTTTGAGGCCCTAGCTGGTTTGGCTCAGTGGATAGAGCTTCGGCCTGCGGACTGAAGGGTCCCGAGTTCGATTCCGATCAAGGCCACATGCCTGGGTTGTGGGCTCGATCCCCAATAGGGGGCATGTAGGAGGCAGCCGATCAATGATTCTCTCTCATCATTGATGTTTCTCTCTTTCCCTCTCCCTTCCTCTCTGAAATCAGTAAAAATATATTTTAAAATAAATAAAATTTGTTTGAGAAAAAAACCTGAACTTGTATGTACATGATAATATTGACTAACAATAATATGTAATCATTAAATGTAAAAAATTGCAAAGTGTATCTGAAAATGCATATTATAATGAGACATTTTAATATATTCTTTTCAGGAAGTGGAAAACAAAATATCAGCATTTTATATCTTAAAAACAGTTACTACAATACTTCTATAAAACAACTGCATAAGTGATAGTTTGAAAAAAGTAAGCACATAGTTTTAATCACATACAATCAAGAATAATTAAAAACTTACTGAGGCCCTGGCTGAGTGGCTCAGTTGGTTGGAGCACAATCCCATACACCAAAAGGCTGCAGGTTCGATCACCATTTGGGGAGCATACAGGAGGCAACAGATCAATGTTTCTCTCTCACATCAATGTTTCTCTCTGTCTCTCCCTTCCTCTCTCTAAAATCAATAAAAACATATCCTTGAGTGAGGATTAAAATTATATATGTATATATTGAGGGATTGGGCTCAGCTACAAGTAACAGGAAACACCCAGTCTTCCCGGCAGAGGAAGGAGTTTATTCTCACACCGAAGGACCGGGTCAACACAGCCCCAAAATATGCAGCAGAGAAACAAACTCCATGTTCTTTTCAGTAGCAGCATGTAGATGTCATGGTCAACCAAGGACATATACTAGCACTATTAACAGCATAAGGTGTTTCCTATATAATTTAGATCTTATGCAGATGTAATCTAGAGAAGAAGGGAATCAGATATAAACATAAAAGTCTGAATCAGTTTCATGGTGGACACAAGATAGCTTACAGGAAAATCCAAAATCTGATGGATCTTTGATGTGCAATTTGTGAAGACATCAGTGGAAACCTATACCTAAAAAATGGAAATTACACAGTTGGTGGTGGTTTCAAGTATACTCTTGACTGAAAGGGCAAAGAATTTTTAAAAATGAGGTGTAAGATGGTATGTAGGTACCTCTTTCTCCCTGTGTGGTAGCTCTACAATATGACTAATTAATGTCTTCTTTGCTTCTGCTTTCAAAATCTCACACTATGGGGCTACTAGTAACATCTAATGGAACTACAAAGGGCATAGATTCTAAAAATGTAGTTCCTAACACTACCCACAGGGGTGATATTTCCAATTCTATTTTCTTTTTCTATTTGTTACAGGTCTCTCTTCTTAAATAAAAATCTATTCACCAAATGCAAGTCAAATAAAACAGCAAAGGCTGAAATATGAAAATAATTCACAAGAAACTAAAATCTTTCATAAACTTGACATACTTAAAAATTTATTCTACCTGTTTAATTAGAATGAAAAATGGAAACAGTATCTAATACCCATCACCCCACACAAGGAGTTTTGTCAGTATAGAAGAGAGAATATATGTATCATGGAATAGAAATATCCAGGAACTATCATAAAACCAGTAGGAAAATCCCAACAAATACCAAACTGTCTTTTTCCCAATGGCCCCTTAACATGAAACAAAACATTATTAAAAGTTAAACCTAATTGCATATTAGAAGTAAACTTGAATTCACCCATGGATCTAAGAAGCTTCAAAATGTAGAAACAATGTTATTAACTGACAATAATACAGAAAAAGGTCTTCCTTGATTAGCAATGAAATCATCTAACACAAGTCAAAATCCTTATGAACACTCTGATATACCTCACAGTCCTTGATGGTTTGTGCTCAATATTAGAATTCATTAATTATTTATTACCTATTAATGTTATATAATTATTTAAAGACAAATTCTAAAATTATTTCACCTCAATATTTCTAAAAGTAACTGACGCTTAAACAACATGAGTTTGAAATGTGCAGGTCCATTTTTCTGCAGGATTTAAAATGTGGACCTGTGCAGTTTCAAACTTGGGTTGTTCAAGGATCAACTGTATTTTCAATCTTTGGTTTGGTATTCATTTATGAAGAGGGCTAGCTTAGGTTACACAAAAATTTTCAACTGCATGGAAAACAGGTTCCCTTAACTCCTGAGGTTTCCAAGGATCAACTGTAGCATAAATCCCATGTCCAACTATGCACTTAAAAATTGGTAAACATATTTACTTACTATTTTAAATATTGAGTTTTCTAGAGCATTATAACTAAACTAGAGGCCCGATGCACAAAGATTCGTGCAAGAATAGGCCTTCCTTCCCCTGGCTGCTGTTACCGGCTTCCCTCTGGCACCCGGGACCTGGGCCTTCGCTCCGGCCGCTGCCTCTTGCCTTTGCTCTGGCCCAGCCGCCGCCATCTTTGTCGCGTCAATTTGCATATTCCCTCCTTATTGGCTGCGGGTACCACCATCTTTGTTGTGAAGTGATGGTCAATTTGCATATTCCATATTCATTAGATAGGATTAATTTGTGTCAATCCTTCTCATGTTATTTGCATTTTTATTTCTTTTCAGTGGGAGTTTTCACATGTAAGGATGTAGGCCAACTGAAGTCTTTCCCACACTATTTACATTCAACAGGTTTTATCCAGTGAGTCCTTTCATGCCTTCGAAAGGAATAGGGATGACTAAAGGCTTTCCCACATTCTTCACATTTATATGGTTTTTCTGTAGTGTGCACTCTCATCATGTGTATTCGAAAAATTTTGTTACAAATAAAGGCTTTCCCACATTCCTTACATTCATAGGGTTTCTCTCCAGTGTGAGTCCTTTCATGTCTTTGTAAGGAACTGTGATCTCTGTAGGCTTTTCCACATTGTTTACATTCATAGGGTTTCTCTCCAGTGTGAGTTCTTTCATGTCTTTGATATAAACTAAGGCAAGTAAATGCTTTCCCACATTCTTTACATTGATACGGTGTTTTACCAATGTGCATTTTCATGTGTCTTTGAATAGTAGTGCGACAAATGAAGGCTTTCCCACAATGTTTACATTCATAGGGTTTCTCTCCTGTGTGAATCCTTTCATGTGTTTGTAAGGAACGATAATATCTGAAGGCTTTTCCACACTCCTTACATTTATAGGGTTTCTCTGCAGTGTGAGTTCTTTCATGTATTCGAAGATTACTAGGAGTACTGAACACTTTACTACACTTTTCACATTCATAGGGTTTCTCTCCAGTGTGAGATTTTTTGTGTATTTTTAAGAAACTGTTACATCTGAATGCATTTCCACATTCCTTACATTCATAGGGTTTCTCTCCTGTGTGTATCCGTTCATGTATTTGCAAGGAACTGTAATATCTCAAGGCCTTTCCACATTGCTTACATTCATAGGGTTTCTCTCCTGTGTGCGTCCTTTCATGGGTTTGTAAGGAACTATAAAATCTAAAGGCTTTTCCACATTCTTTACATCCATAGGGTTTCTCTGCACTGTGAATTCTTTCATGTTTGCGAAGACAACTGGGAGCACTGAATGCTTTGCTACATTTTTTACAGTCATAGGGTTTCTCTCCAGTGTGAGACCTTTCATGTATTTGTAAGGAACTGTAATATCTGAATGCTTTTCCACATTCCTTACATTCATAGGGTTTCTCTCCTGTGTGAGTCATTTCATGTGGCTGTAAGGAACTGTAAGATCTGAAGGTCTTTCCACATTGCTTACATTCATAGGGTTTCTCTTCAGTGTGAATTCTTTCATGTATTTGAAGATGACTGGGATACCTGAATGCTTTATTGCATTTTTTACATTCATAGGGTTTCTCTCCAGGGTGATTCCTTTCATGTCTTTGAAAACTTTTATAATATCGGAAGGCTTTTCCACAGAGTTTGCATTGATAGGGCTTCTCTACAATGTGGCTTCTCTCACATGTTTGAAGAAAAACTGAAGAACTAAAGGTTTTCAAACTTTCCTTACATTTATAAGGAGGATCTGCAGTATGTTTAATCATGTGTCTTTGAGGGCTTTTGAGCCACCTGAAGGCTTTCCAACATTCCTCACATTTATAAGATTCCTCTCCATTGTGATTTCTTTCATGTTTTTTAAACAACTGAATATAAGTGAAGGGTCTCCCACATCTGCTACATTTATATGGTTTCTCTCCATTTTTCTGATTCTCAGAGGTCTTGTGTCTAGTTTGACATTTAATGTCCCTATTATGGGATGAATAATGCATGAAGAATTCACCACATGCACTGTATTCCCATGGTTTTGCTCCAGGAAGAGATTTTGTCAGATTGAGATTTGGAATAAGGGTTAAGTTTTCTCCACATTGACTATCCTCCTTCCTTTTGCAGCTCCTCTCTACCATTTGACTTCTGCAAAAAACAAGAAGCACATTAATTTCTTTGTTAATAATTTTATACTTCTTGGAAGAATATTTGGACGACATTTTTATGATTTACTGCTAAGTATAGGTTTAGTGTCTTGTACAAATTGTTGGACATTGAATACACCAAAATTTCTGCACGACAACTTCGGCCTTGCTATTATTAAAAAAAATAACCTTCATATTTAGCTTCATGAATGCTCTTTGCATGTAAACTATTTTTGCAAACACTACACATCTACGTCACATATAAAAAGTACTTTAGTAAAACATTTCTGAGAAGTAATTTGAAGCAGGGGTAGTTTAGATTGATTTTTTTCATTTGTTTTAAATATATATATATATATTTCAATGAGGAAAGTAGTGGGAGAGAGAGATAGAAGCATCAATGATGAAAGAGAATCATTGATCGGCTGCCTCCTGCACACCCCCTACTGGGGAATGAGCCCACAACTTGGGCATGTGCCCTGACTGGGAATAGAACTGTGACCTCCTGGTTCATAGGTTGATGTTCAACCACTGAGCTGGGCTGGGAAAATGCTTCTAAAATTTTTATAGCATAATTGTTTTCTCATCTGAGACACTGCTTTCTATTGTGAATGTTACTCACCTGTGTTTACTCCCCTGGTTTTTGTACTGATCTTCAATTTCGTGATCTTCCCATTTTCCCCCTAAAATTCAGACCAAGAAATAGGATTCCAAAGTATTAGGAATTGTAGAAAAATTATTAGATTCTAGTTCTATAATGAGCTGTGACTATGCCTAGTTTATTTATCAATGTCCTCTATTCCTACATTACATGTTAGCACAATGTTGACGGATAAGATACACTTATCCTTCAGATGAGGAAGTGAAGGGTAATTTGTTAACCTTACCTATGGAGGCCAGGTTCCTGAAGGTTTCCCTCATCACATCTTTGTAGAGTTTCTTTTGTAAAGAATCCAATAAGGCCCACTCCTCCAGACTAAAGTTCACAGCCACATCCTCAAATGTCACTGAGTCCTAAAACATCACAAATGTGTGTACAGTAAAATTTATGAGACTGCACTGAACACCTAGACTCCATTTACAGGGAAGTTACATATGATTCTGTCATCTCCAAACATTTATGCTAAAACTTCGTCATCAGAAACTTATACTCTGTCCACAATTACTTTCTCATAAATTTAATACCATCACGAACACCTGGAAATTATTTACAAATGGTATCATAATCCATTATATTTTATGTATTTTCTCTAATGGCAGGGTTCAGAGCATGTTGGGAATAGAAAGAAATGCTACAGAAATGAAACGAATATTGTATTATCATTTTAAGATGATAAATTCCTTGAGAAAAAATTTTTTTAAAATATATTTTCACTGATTTCACAGAGGAAAAGGAGAGGGAGATTGAGATAGAAACATCAATGATGAGAGAGAATCATTGGTTGGCTGCCTCCTGCATGCCCCCTACTAGGGATCAAGCCCACAACCCAGGCATGTGCCCTGACTGGGAATTGAACCATGACCTCCTGGTTCATAGGTCAATGCTCTATCACTGAGCCATACCAGGCAGAAAAAAGAACAAACCCCTTTTAATCTTTTTTCTTTATTACTCACCACTTACAGAACTCCATGAGGCATCGGGTTAAATGTGCATAAGATTTCTAGGAATAAATACATACTAAATAAACATATTTGCTTTTTGTTCTATTTCCATCATTAAACATGAGTCCAGGAGGCCTATGACAATGCTAGCTTTAGCAAGGTCCAGGTAGTCATATCATCTTAAAGTTCTCCAGTTCATTAAAAGTCATCAGATGTAGCTGGCTGAATAACATTCATACAGACCAACACTGCTTTTTTCTTGTGTAATATTTATTACAGACTTATTTTTTCCTTTCCTTCTCTGGCCAATATGATGGCCTAGAAAATTAGTCTGGTACCACCTATTTATGGGGCTATATAATGAGATATGTATTGTTAGGCAATTTCATCATTGTGGGTACATGTAGAATGTACTTTCACAAATCTAAATGGCATTGCCTACCAAATACCTAGCATAGCATATTGCTCCTAAACTACAAACCTGGACAGCTTGTTACCGTGCTGAATACTACGGGCAATTGTAACACAAGGCTATTATTCATATATCTAGATAATGCCCTCCCTTCTGTCATTTCCAAGCTCCCCTGTGTAGGGAAGACTGCACCACAAGATACCCCCAGCACACCTACATAAGGCCACTCTTTCAAAATTTGGTGATGTAGCTGGTCTACCTACTACATAGAAACAAACATGATGAGATAGACAAAATGAGGAGAAAGAGGATTATGCTACAAGCAAAATAAAAAGTCAAAACCCCAGAAAAAGAACTAAATGAAATGAAGACAAGCAATCTACCAGATAAAAAGTTGAAAGCAATGGCTACAAAGATGGTCAATAAAATTGGAGAATAAATAAACTCAGGGAAAGCCCCAACAAAGAGATAGAAAATATAAAAAAAGAACCAATCAGAACTAAAGAATATAATAATTGAAAAGAAAAAAAATACACTAGAGGGAATTAATAGCAGATTAGATGATGCAGAAGAGTGAATCAGTGAACTGTAAAGCAAGGTAGTGGAAAACTCTAACTGAAACAGAAAAAAGAAAAAAGAATTTCAGAAAGTGAAAATAGTTTAAGGGACCTCTGGGACAACATCAAGTGTGTTACCATTCTAACCATAGGGGTCCCAGGGGAGAGAGAGAGAGAGAGAGAGAGAGAGAGAGAGAGAGAGAGAGAGAGAGAGAAAACCTATCTGAAGAAATAATAGCTGAAAACTGCCCTAACCTGGTGAAGGAAACAGATATCCAAGTCAGAAAGCACATAGGTCCCAAACAAGATGAACTTAAAGAAACCCACAAAACACGTATCTAAAATGCTAAAAGTTAAAGACAAAGATAATTTTAAACGTAGCAAGAGAAAAGCAGTTTAAAATAACGTGCATCTGGAATAAATTAATTAAGAGACATACACATGCACAAAGATGTGAAATATAATGTTAAAAACAATATATGGGGGGATGAGTAAAAAAATAGTGCTTGCCGAAACTGGTTTGGCTCAGTGGATAGAGCGTCGGCCTGCGGACTGAAAGGTCCCAGGTTCGATTCCGGTCAAGGGCATGTACCTGGGTTGCGGGCACATCCCCAGTGGGAAATGTGCAGGAGGCAGCTGATCCATGTTTCTCTCTCATTGATGTTTCTAACTATCTCTCTCCCTTCCTCTCTGTGGAAAATCAATAAAATATATTTTAAAAAAAATAGTGCTTTTAAAATAAGTTGAATTTAAGCAACTATTAACTTAAACTACTATTTTTTAATTATTTTACTGCTTAAAGTATTACAAAGAGTATTACATATGTCTCCTTTTTTTTCCTGCCCTTGAACTTAAACTACTATTAACATTGGGTGTTATATGTGAAATTCATGATAGCCATAAACTAAAAACCTGTAACAGATACACAAAATAAAGAGAAAGGCATCCAAACATAACACTACACAAAGTCATCAATGCACAAAGGAAAAGAACAACAGAAGAAGAAAGAAACAGAGAAGAACTACAAAAACAACCAGGAAACAATTAATAAAGAAGCAATAAGTACATACCCATCAATAATTACTTTAAATGTAAGTGACCTAAAGTCTCCAATCAAAAGACACAGAGTGGCTGAATGAATAATAAAAACAAGAGCCATACATATTTGCTTATAAAAATTACTTCAGCTATAAAGACACACATAGACTTAAATTGAAGGGAAAACATATATTTCATGCAAATAGCAATGAAAAGAAAGCTGGTGTAGGAATACTAACAAAATACACACAAAATAGACTAAAACAGTCTCTAATAAAAGCCAAAGAAAGGCATTACATAATAATAACATTTATGCATCTAACATAGAAATGCCTAAGTACATAAAGCAAAAATTACTCACTATAAAGGGAGAGATTGAGAGTATGACAATAATAGTAGGAGACTTTAACAACCCAGTTACATCAATGGATACATCATCCACAAGACCAACATGAAAACACTGGCTTTAAAAGACACATTAGATCAGATAGAATTAATAGATATTTACAGAAACATTCCATCCAAATATAACATAATACACATTCCTTTCAAGTGCACATGGAATATTTTCCTGGACAGAGCACACATTAGACCACAAAACAAGTCTTAGTATATTTAAGAATTTTTGAAATAAATATCAAGAATTTTTTTGTATTAAAATATCTTTTCTGATGACAACAGGATAAAACTAGAAATTGATTATAAGGAAAAAACTGGAAAAAAAACACAAATATGTGGAAGCTAAATAACATGCTCCTAAATAATCAAGAGGGTCCTGAAACAAAGATGGCGGCATAGGTAAACACTTGAAATTGCTGCCTCGCACAACAACTTCAAAAATACAACTAAAAGACAAAACGGACATCATAAGGCTGGCTGAGTGGAAATTCTACAACTAGGAGGAAAGAGAAAAGCACACAGACTCAGAGGAGGTGCGGAAGTAAAGTGCAGAGATACAGAGGCGCACGTCAAAAGGGCTGGCAACTGAGGACATGGTTGTATTTTTCAATTGGGAGGAAGTCTCAAGCTACCCACTGCTGTGAACTCCAGTTCCGGGAGAGTCTCTGGGGACCCAGGCTCATACCGGGAGAAACTGGACTGTCTAGCCTCGGGCAGAACTCGAGGGCAGCTTTCTCTCAGAGGTGCTTGCAGCGATTACCGAGACACTGAGACAAGGGGCCTCTTAGGGTAGGACTGAGGAGCAGCCATAGCTGCTTGCTCCACCCTATTGATCCCCTGAGACCCTGCCCCACCCAAGCTGTGTGCAGAGGCTTTTGCATATTAAAGGCGGGCCCTTTGCAATCTGAAAATTACCTAACTAACTGCAGCTGGGCCAGACAGACCCAGAACTTCCAAAAGAAGGCCCAAGGCCCCACAGCACCTTGCATTGCTTCACAGCTGGGCCTCATCTGGGCACCTCCAAACCCCCAAAAGGAAGGGGAATCGGCAGATCTCTTCGTAGCTCCTGCTGGGTAGCCTCAGGCAGAAGCTAAATTAGCACCTCCTTAGAGATCCAAGAGCCAGTGTACCCAGTGGTCAGAGTGGGACATCCAGATTACAACTCCTCAGATCCATAAGGGACACACTCAGGGGGCAGACTCAGTGAGCACCAAAGCCCCACTGAAGCAAGTCTTGTCCCAGAAGGGTGTCTCCAGCACAGAAGTTCTCCCACTGCAGACACAGCTGATTCTCACAGCCAATTGGCCTGGAGGTCAATTCCTCCCATTGATACCAAGTACAATCAAGGCTTAACTACAACAAGACTGTGCACACAGCCCACAAAGGGGTGCACCAGAGTGTCCACCTCAGGTAATTGAGGAGGCTGAGCTACTGGGCCTTATAGGTCACCTAGCACAGAAAGCCACTCTATCAACACAGGGAAGCATAAAAAATGCGGAGACAAAGAAACAGGTCACAAATGACAGAAACGGAGGAAAGCAAACTACTGGATATAGAGTTCAAAACCACACTTCTAAGGTTTTTTCAAGAATTTTCTAGAAACCATTGATAAATTTAGTGAGACCCTCAAGAAATCTGGTGAGACCCTGGAGGTTATGAAAAAGGACCAACTAGAAATTAAGCATACACTGAGTGAAATAAAGAATATTATACAGACTCCCAACAGCAGACTAGAGGATCCCAAGAATCAAGTCAAAGATTTGAAATGCAAGGAAGCAAAAACACCCAACCGGAAAAACAAAAAGAAAAAAGAATCCAAAAAAATGAAGATAATGTAAGGAGCCTCTGGGACAGCTTCAAGCGTACCAACATCCGAATTATTGGTGTGCCAGAAGAAGAGAGAGAGCAAGATATTGAAAACCTATGTAAAGAAATAATGACAGAAAACTTCCCCTACCTGGTGAAAGAAATAGACTTACGAGTCCAGGAAACACAGAGAACCCCAAACAAAAGGAATCCAAAGAGGACCACACCAAGACACATTATAATTAAAATGCCAAGAGCAAAAGACAAAGAGAGAATCTTAAAAGCAGCAAGAGAAAGAAACTCAGTTACCTACAAGGGAGTACCCATACGACCCTCAGCTGATTTCTCAACAGAAACTATGCAGGCCAGAAGGGAGTGGCAAGAAATATTCAAAGTGATGAATAGCAAGAACCTACAACCAAGATTACTTTGTCCAGCAAAGCTATCATTCAGAATTGAAGGTCAGATAAAGAGCTTCACAGATAAGGAAAAGCTCAAGGAGTTCATCACCACCAAACCAGTATTACATGAAATGCTGAAAGGTATCCTTTAAGAAGAGGAAGAAGAAGAAAAAGATAAAGATACAAATTATGAACAACAAATACACATCTATCAACAAGTGAATCTAAGAATCAAGTGAATAAATAATCTGATGAACAGAAAAAAATAAAAAATAAAAGAAAATAAAAGGGAAGTTTACAGTGATTCAGAACTACCTCAAGAAACAAAAATTTCAAATAAACAACCTAATCCTACACCTAAAAGAACTATAAAAAAAAAAAAAAAAAAAAAAAAGTTGCCGAAACCGGTTTGGCTCAGTGGATAGAGCGTCGGCCTGCGGACTGAAAGGTCCCAAGTTCGATTCCGGTCAAGGGCATGTACCTGGGTTGCGGGCATATCCCCAGTAGGAGATGTGCAGGAGGCAGCTGATCGATGTTTCTCTCTCATCGATGTTTCTAACTCTCTCTCTCTCTCTCCCTTCCTCTCTGTAAAAAATCAATAAAATATATTAAAAAAAAAAAAGTTAATAGAAGGGAACAATAAAGATCAAAGTGAAAATACATGAAACAGAGAAAAAAAATAGAAAAGATCAATGAAAGTAAGATCACTGAAAAAATAAAATGAATAAACACTTCGCCAGACTCATCAAGAAAGAAAAAAATAATCCAAATAAATAAAAACATAAATGAAAGAGAAGTTAAAACCAACAACACAGAAATACAAATAAATCATAAGTGAATACACCAACAAGCTGGACAACCAATATGAAATGTATAAATTTCTAAAAACACAATATTTCCGGCCTAAATCAGGAAAAAAAAAATAGAAAATCTGAGTAAACAGATAACTAGTAACAAAATTGAAATCAGTAATGAAAGAAATCCCAACAAACAAAAATCTAGGACCTAATAGTTTGCTGAATTCTACCCAAAAACTTAAAGAATTATTACCTATACTACTCAAAGTATTCAAAAAAAATTGGAGAGAAAGGAACACTCTAAAACTCATTCTACAAGGCCAGCACAACCTTGACACCAAAACCACACAAAGACACTACAAAAAAAATTACCAGCCCTGGCTGCTATAGCTCAGTTGACTGGACGCCATCCCAGGCATCGAAAGGTTGCTGGCTCAATTCCCCATTCCTAGTCAGAGCACAAGCCCCGGTTTCAGGTTCAATCCATGGTAGGGGGTGTGCAGGAAGCAGACATTTGATGCTATGCTGTCACATCAATGTTTCTTCTCCCTTCCTCTCTTTCTAAAAATCAATAGACTACATATATATATATATATATATATATATATATATATATATACATATACATATCTACACTAATAAAAGAGAAACATGGTAATTGGCGTACAACCGCTACCCTTTTCATTGGCTAATCAGTGAGATACGCAAATTAACTGTCAGCCAAGATGGTGGCCGGCAGCCAGGCAGCTTGAAACTAACATGAGGCTTGCTTGCCTCAGTGACGGAGGAAACCAACGTTCCCCGCCTGCGCTGCAGGCCTCTGAGCCTGCAGTTTAAGAACTATGTAACAAATACCACCGGACTTCAGCCAGCAGGATTGCAACATTGTAAGCAAAGGCCAGAAACCTACTTTCAGCCGCGGAGGCCTAAGAGCTGGAGCCAAGCCTCAAACTAAAGCTGGCCCAGAATAAAAAAAAAAAAGGAAAAAAGGAGCGGTTGGGAGCTTCAGTCACCCCCAGCCTGAAAACAGCCCTCAGCCCCTCACCCAGACTGGCCAGGCACCCCAGTGAGGACCCCCACCCTGAATGGTGTGTGACCAGCTGCAAACAGCCATCATCCCCTCACCCAGGCTGGCCAGGCACCCCAGTGGGGACCCCCACCCAGATCTAGGACACCCTTCAGGGGAAACCAGCCGGCCCCCACCCATGCACCAGGCCTCTACCCTATATAGTAAAAGGGTAATATGCCTCCCAGCACCAGGATCAGCGGAGCCATGAGGTCTCCCGGCTCCGGGATCAGCGTGACAGGGGGCAGTGCCCAAACCCCCTGATCGCCCTGCAGCTCTGTGTGTGACAGGGTGCGGCGCCCCAACCCCCACCCCCCCCCCACGGGCCCTGCTCTGTGTGTGATGGGGTAGAGCCATAACCTCCCCATCGGCCCTGCCCTGAGTGTGAGAGTGGCGGCGCCCCAACCCCCCGATTGGCCCTGCTCTGTGGGTGATAGAGGGCGGCACCCCAACCCGCTGATCCGCCTTGCTCTGTGTGTGACAGGAGATGGTGCCCCAACTCCCCTATCGGCCCTACTCTGTGAGTGGCAGGGGGAGCTCCCCAACCCCCTGATGGGCCCTGCTCTGTGCATGACAGGGTACGGAGCCCCAACCCCCCTGATGGGCCCTGCTGTGTGCGTGACAGGGGGCAGCACCCCAACCCCGATTGGCCCTGCTCTGTGCGTGATAGGGGGTGGCACCACAATCTCCCGATCGACCCTGCCTTGAGTGTGACGGGGCGGTGCCCCAACCCCCCAATCGGCCCTACTCTGAGCATGACTGAGGGTGACATCGCAACCTCCCAATCCGCCCTGCTCTGTGTATGACGGGGCGGCGCCCCAACTCCCCAATCGGCCCTGCTCTGAGCCCGACCAGGGGCTGCACCTAGGGATTAGGCCTGCCCTCTGCCACCCGGGAGCAGGCCTAAGCCAGCAGGTCGTTATCTCCTGAGGGGTCCCAGACTGTGAGAGGGCACAGGCTGGGCTGAGGGACCCCCCCTCCCCCCCGAGTGCACAAATTTTTGTGCACCGGGCCTCTAGTTTATATATATATATATGTGTGTGTGTGTATATATGTGTATATATATGTATATATATATATGTATATATGTATATATATATATATATATATATATATATATATCCAATCTATGTACATAGATGTAAAAATCCTCAAAAAATATTAGCACACCAAATTCAACAATACATTAAAAGGATCATATACCATGATCCAGTAAAATTTATTCCAGGATTGCAAAAATGGTCCAATATCCACAAAACAAGAATCATAATACAACACAATAACAAAACAAAAATAAAAACCTTATAACCATCTCAATAGATGCAAATAATCATTTGACAAAATATAACATCCATAAAACTTTCAACAAAGTGGAACTAAACAGAACATATCTCAATATAATAAAAACCACATATGACAAACCCAGAGCTTACACACTCAATGGTGAAAAGCTAAGAGCTTTTCCCCTAACATCAGGAACAATGTTATATTAGTTTCAGGTGTACAACATAGTGATTCAACATTTATGTATCTTATAAATTGATCACCACAATAATTTTAGTAACCATCTGTCACCATACATATTTATTACAAAGTTATTGACTCTATTTCCTGTGCTGTATATTACACCCCCATGACTTATTTTATAATTAGAAGTTTGTACCTCTTAACCCCCTTCAACTTTTCTGCCCGTCCCCAATCCCTCTCTCCTCTGGCAGCCATCAGTCTGTTCTCTCTATGTAGCACCTCATACCTGTCAGAATAGCTATGATCAAAAAGTCAACAAATAACAAGTGTTGGCAAGAATGTAGAGAAAAGGGAACCCTTGTGCACTGTTGGTGGGATTGTAATTTGGTGCCGCCACTATAGCAAACTGTATGAAGTCTCCTCAAAAATATTAAAATTAGAACTACCATTCAAATCAGCAATTCTACTTTTGGGTATTAATCCAACCAAAACAAAAATACTAATTAACAAAGATATTTGTACCCCTATGTTAATTACAGTATTATGTACAATAGAGTTGATACATACATACACACACAGAGACAAATGGAATATTACTCCGGTATAAAAATAATAAAATCTTGCCAGTTGCATAAACATGAGTGAAGATAGAGATTTTATGCTAAGTGAAAAAGTCGTACCAAGAAAGACAAATACCATATAATTACACATATATATGTAATCTAAAAAAACCAACCAACCAACCAAAACAAAACAGAAACAAACTCAAAGAACAGAGAATGGATAGCTTCCCCCAAAGAAGAGTTTTGGCTGAATAGGTGAAAAAGATAAAGAGAAATAAATAAGAGATCCAGACTTTTAGTTACATGATAAGTCATTGGGATGTAACTTACGGCACAGGGAAAATAGTCTCTAATATTACAATAAGTTTATATGATGACAGTTGGTTACTATACTTGTTTTGGTTAACACATTGTAAAATACATAAATGTAAAAATCACTGATTTACACCTGAAACTAATATAATATTTTATGTCAACTATACTTTTAAATAAACTTTTTTTTTAACTGAGAAAGAAAATACTTGCTCTTTAAGGAGTGACCATTTGATGGGCTCACCTCGCTCATGGAGTATAATCAATCACCCTAGTACACCCCCCTGCCCCACCAAGACTCACCCTAATGTTAAGGAGAACCCAGCCTGAGTCACACCTTCACTCCAAACACAGGGACTCCAACCAAAACCACTGTAAGGAGAGCTCCATTCTCAAACTCCTGCTCCCAGACAACAAGGAACGACTGAAACTGCCAACTCCAAGTCCTCTGAGCACAGAACCCAGGCTCTGTGAGGTCAAGAATGCAACACAGGGCAGCACAGCTCGGGGGAGGGGCTCCCCAGCAAGCAGCAGGCCCAGAGCAGGAGCCTCCTGGCTCTTATCAGACTGACAAGTAAGGACAGGGGAAGAGGGAGGGACGAGGCTTAAGTTTTCAGTAAACAAATATCAAACACGTGGAGCCTGACCACTTATGACAAGAACAAACCCAAGTAAGAAAAACAGGCATTAGCTCTGGCCTGTTTTTATATAAATAGGGGTTAATACAGAAGTGACTGAAATATTGCGCTGTGGATGGCTAGCTTACAGCACTGCAATGGACCAGGATACGTGGTCAGGAAGTCTTCTTGTTGATTTCTATCTTAGAAATTTAATCAGCCTTCCTTCCAATGCACTACTTATTTAAAATAAGGAGAAATTATATAAATATATAATATATAAAAATACATATATATACCATTATTTCCTATGTGTAATCATTATTTTAAATTAATTTTTACTTTTTAAAATTAATCCAATTTTAACTTTTCTCTACAGAATACTACTCTAAGATGTAATCCTTTAAACACTAAAAAATATAAAACTCCAAACGATCAAAAATTCCCAAATTCCTTTCTGGTAAAAAGCCAAGGGACATTATAATAGTTTGTCTACTGTATTTTACACTTAGGATATTTTTGAGATTGAGTAGTATATTATAATGCATTAGGGGTTTGCAATAAAGCCCTGAAATGAACTAGAAAATTCAAATATATCCTTAATTTTTAGTTGTTTTTCTTACTACATCAATGAAAATAAAAATTGCCTTAGCTGGTTTGGCTCAGTGGATAGAGCGTCGGCCTGCGGACTGGGGGGTCCCGGGTTCGATTACAGCCAAGGGCACACGCCTGGGTTGCGGGCTCGATTCCCAGTGGGGGGTGTGCAGGAGACAGCCGATCGATGATTTTCTCTCATCATTGATGTTTCTCTCTCCCCCTCTCCTTTCCTCTCTGAAATCAATAAAATATATTTAGAGGAAATTCAGCTGCTTTTTCCTCACATCCATTCAAATAGAAATTCTTTTAAATGTCAAATTTCTTTAGAGTCATGGACATATAAAAACTGACCTAAAAATGGAAAAATCACCTGATAACTTAAAAACACCCTTCTCCCCTCTTCAGGCTCTTTTCCATAATAAAACCAAAATTATATTCGGTTCCACAATTATCTTGCCTTATGTATACACGGTATCTTTCTATCAATTTACATATTAAAAGCACAAGTGTTAATGAAATCTAGATTCAAAGAGCTGCAATATTCAATGGAGAAAGGAATCCAATGAAAGTAAACAGCAATACTGGAATCAAGAAAGGGAGCTGCTCCCCTACAGTTCAGAAGGAAACCCACACCCAGAAAATGGACCGTTTCCACTAAGGGTCTAGATACCCCCTGCTGAGATTAAGCCCCTGCAGTGGGTCAGTCCCTGGGGAAGGACATGGGTGACACCTGAGCAGCCCCAGGAGTGAGCTCTCTGGGAGCTCCACACCCTCCCCTCGCCTGTAAGCATGGAAATGCTCCCTGAGGCTTCCATTCTCACAGGTGAGGCAACTCTCAGCCTGATTCAGTTTTAAGTTCTGATCCAAATGAACCCCCAAATCCATAAGCCTTTTGTCCACGAGACAACAAAGTACCTGATCGGCACAGACCTTCTCAATGTCTATAAATTACACTCTGAATGCAAACCTCGACATAAAATCTAGAAATGGCTGGGACTAAGGATCCACAACCACAGACAGAGCATCAGCACCCGCCTCCACCCGAGGCCCTGCACTGCATCCCCACTTCCCGGCTCAGGAGCTTTTCTTAGGAATCTACTTCAGCAATTCTGCTCTGCAAGGCTAAGCTCTGGGATTGTTTTTTGTTTTTTTTTAATATATTTTATTGATTTTTTACAGAGAGGAAGGGAGAGAGACAGACAGTTAGAAACATCGATGAGAGAGAAACATCGATCAGCTGCCTCCTGCACATCTCCCACTGGGGATATGCCCGCAACCCAGGTACATGCCCCCGACCGGAACCGAACCCGGGACCCTTCAGTCCGCAGGCCGACGCTCTATCCACTGAGCCAAACCGGTCAGGGCTGGGATTGTTTTTTAAAACCCCCCCAAAATAAAACAACCTCAGAAACTTACTACACATGCTCAGGAAGAGTGAGAGAAAAATTCTAGAAATGGAAAGTAATACTAAAAAAAAAAAAAAAATTTTTCCGAATTATACTCTTTTTGCTTATTTGGAACTCTTTTAAATATATATTTTATTGATTTTTTACAGAGAGGAAGGGAGAGGGATAGAATTAGAAACATCGATCAGCTGCCTCCTGCACACCCCCTACTGGAGATGTGCCCGCAACCAAGGTACATGCCCTTGACCGGAATCGAACCTGGGACCCTTGAGTCCGCACGCTGACGCTCTATCCATTGAGCCAAACCGGTTGGGGCTGGAACTCTTTTATATTGTCTTTCACGTTCTAGTGATTACATACATTTTACTCCTATTAAAAACTGAGACTTGCCCGGCTGTGGTGGCTCAGTGGCTTGAGCGTAATCCCATGGACCAAGAGGTCCTGGGTTCGATTCACAGTCAGGGCACATGCCTGGGTTGTGGGCTGTGGGGGTGTGAAGGAGGCAACGAATCAATGAGTCTCTCTCATCATTGATGTTTCTGTCTCTCTCCCCCTCTCCCTTCCTCTCTGAAATCAATAAAAATATTTTTTTAAAAAAACAAAAACAGTCCTAACCGGCTTAGCTCAGTGGATAGAGCGTCGGCCTGCGGACTGAAAGGTCCCAGGTTCAATTCCGGTCAGGGGCAGGTACCTTGGCTGCGGGCACATCCCAAGTGGGGGGTGTGCAGGAGGCAGCTGATCGATGTTTCTCTCTCATTGATGTTTCTGACTCTATCCTTCTCCCTTCCTCTCTGTAAAAAATCAATAAAATATATTTAAAACAAAAAAACGAAGCTGAGACTTAGCCAGGCCGGCGTGGCTCAGTGGTTGAGCGTCCACCTCTGAGCCAGGAGGACAGGGTTGACTCCTGGTCAGGGCACATGCCAGATCCCCAGTGTGGGGCACGCAGGAGGCAGCCCATCAATGATTCTCTCTCATCATGGATGTTTCTATCTCTCTCCCTCCCCCTTCCTCTCTGAAATCAATTAAAATATATTAAATATATATGTATATTTAAAAAACAAAACAAAAAACTGAGATTTAGAGAGAACCAAGATGGCGGCATAGGTTAACTCCGGAGTTTGCTGCCTTGAACAACTACTTCAAAAGGGAAACTAAAAGACGGAACGGACATCACCCAGAACCACAGGAACGCTGGCTGAGTGGAAGTCCTACAACTAGGAGGAAAGAGAAACGCATACGGACACTCAGAGGAGGCGCAGTGCTGAAGTCAAATTCGGAGGTGCGGAGGGCGTGGTTGGCGTTTTCAATCGGGAGGGAGTCGCAGACTCTGAGCTCCAGATACAGGCGAGTCTTTAGGGACCCAGACTCAAACGGGAGAAGCGGGACTGTCTGGCTTTGGTCAGAGCGAGTGCAGCTTTCTCTCCGAGGTTTGCAGCGGGTGCTGGGACTCAGAGAGGCAGAGCCCCTGGGGACAGGACTGAGAGCCGCTATAACTGCTCTCTCCGGCCCACCCTGTTGATCCTGTGCGACCCGCCCCACCCAAGCCCTGCACAGAGGCATTTGCCGGATAGCCTCAGGCAAACGCCAGATTAGCACCTCCCTAGAGGACAGAAGTCCTCTCACTGCAGACACAGCTGATTCTCATAGCCACTTGGCCTGGAGGTCAAACCCTCCCTGGTATTAGCTACAACAATCAAGGCTTAACTACAAGACTGCGCACAAAGACCACTAGGGGGTGCACCAAGAAAGCATAACAAAATGCGGAGACAAAGAAACAGGACAAAATTGTCAATGGAAGATATAGAGTTCAGAACCACACTTTTAAGGTCTCTCAAGAACTGCTTAGAAGCCACCGATAAACTTAACGAGATCTACAAGAAAACTAATGAGACCCTCGATGTTATGATGGGGAACCAACTAGAAATTAAGCATACACGGACTGAAATAACGAATATTATACAGACTCCCGACAGCAGACCAGAGGAGCGCAAGAATCAAGTCAATTATTTGAAATGCGAGGAGGCAAAAAACACCCAACCGGAAAAGCAAAATGAAAAAAGAATCCAAAAATGCGAGGATAGTGTAAGGAGCCTCTGGGACAGCTTCAAGCGTACCAACATCAGAATTATAGGGGTGCCAGAAGATGAGAGAGAGCAAGATATTGAAAACCTATTTGAAGAAATAATGACAGAAAACTTCCCCCACCTGGTGAAAGAAATGGACTTACAGGTCCAAGAAGCGCGGAGAACCCCAAACAAAAGGAATCCAAAGAGGACCACACCAAGACACATCATAATTAAAATGCCAAGAGCAAAAGACAAAGAGAGAATCTTAAAAGCAGCAAGAGAAAGAAACTCACTTACCTACAAGGGAGTACCCATACGACTGTCAGCTGATTTCTCAACAGAAACTTTGCAGGCCAGAAGGGAGTGGCAAGAAATATTCAAAGTGATGAATACCAAGAACCTACAACCAAGATTACTTTATCCAGCAAAGCTATCATTCAGAATTGAAGGTCAGATAAAGAGCTTCACAGATAAGGAAAAGCTAAAGGAGTTCATCACCACCAAACCAGGATTATATGAAATGCTGAAAGGTATCCTTTAAGAAGAGGAAGAGGAAGAAAAAGGTAAAGATACAAATTATGAACAACAAATATGCATCTATCAACAAGTGAATCTAAGAATCAAGTGAGTAAATAATCTGATGAACAGAATGAACTGGTGATTATAATAGAATCAGGGACATAGAAAGGGAATGGACTGACTATTCTTGGGGGGGAAAGGGGT